GCAATGACAGAGACATCTGCTCCAGTGTCTACCAACCCTTCAAACTGTTTTCCTTGAATAATGGCCTTACACACAGGTCTGCTCTCAGAGACCAGATTTGCCCAATATGCAGCCTTTCCTGCCAGATCAGTGCTTCCGAACCCTCCTGTTCTTTTTATCTCACTGTTCCAACTTTAATATAAGTAGGAGTAATAATTGAGCAATCCTGTCTCCTGGACTGGCACTCCAAGGAATTGAGGAACTAATAACCAATTGAATTTCGCCTTTAAGTCTGAATCAACCACACCAGTATGAATTTGAACTCCTTTTAGATTTAAACTTGATCTTCCTAAGATTAGTCCTACAGTCCCCTCAGGCAATGGGCCATATACCCTGTGGGGATTTTTTGTGGAGGCTCCCCTGGAAGCAGAGAGACTGCTTGTATGGTGCATAAATCTACCGCTGCACTGCCGCTTGTGGCGGGGATAATTGCTGTATTGTGATAACTGGCTTATTCCCTGAGACACTTGTGGCAGTGGGGGTTGTTGTTCCTGAAAACCTGAGGAACAAAGGGCTGAATTGGAATGCCCCAGTTTGTTGCGGGGCCTGAGGCTGGCCCCTCCTCTCGTTTCCCGACAGTGGTTGCCCATTTTTATCAAATTTAGAACGACATTGATTAGCCCAATGTTTTCCCTTTTTACATCTTGGACATAGGCCAGGTGGCTCTTTATCTGTTCTTGTAGTAGTTTGAGTAGTTACATTTTGTTTATTGAGACTAGGCAATTCTTTTTTAGATGACCAATTTGACCACAATTATAACATCTTCCCCCAAATGTTCTAACCTGTCCTCCTAAAGCAACTCCTGTGATTGCTTGAGCCATAAGCATAGCTTTATGCATAGCTCCTCCAATTCCATCGCAGGCCTTAACGTACTCTGAGATTACATCTGATCCTGCGGAACCTTTCCTTTTAATGGCTTAATGGCTGATTGACAATCAGGATTGGCGTTTTCATATGCCATCAACTCCACTATGACCTTACGGGCATTCTCATCGGTAATTGACTTTTGAGCAGCATCTTGAAGTCTTGCTACAAAATCAGGGTAGGGCTCTTTAGAAGCCTTGTCTTATTGTATTAAAGGAGGGGCAGGCGGTTCCTGGATCTTGGATTTCTCCCAGGCCCTAAGGCAGATAGCCCTGATTTGCTCAATGGCCTCATTTGGCATTATTACTTGTTGGTCAACAGTGCTCCAATTTTGACCTATTCCTAATAGTTGATCTGCATCTATGTCAATTGGAGGATTGGCAGTCCTATTTTTTCGGACCTGTACTTGTGCCCCATCAATCCACCAAGTCTTAAATTGTAAAAACTGAGAGGGTGAGAGTGAGGATTTTGCCAGAATCTCCCAATCATAAGGAATGAGTCTATGTCCATGAGCAATGGAATCTAATAATGTTCTCATGTAAGGAGAGTTGGGTCCATACTGTTTTACTCCCTCTTTCATTTCTTTTAGCATTTTTATAGAAAAAGACTTATATCTGGCTTCAGCTACGGGAAGCTCTCCCTCTTGGGCCCCTTCTCCAGGTGGTCTTGCTTCTAATATTACTGGGAATTGCCACGCCTCAATATCTCCTTGTTTTCTTGCCTCATCAATAATTTTATGTAACGCACTACCCTGTGTACTAGGCAGTGCTGTAGGATTAAGTCTCATGGTGGGCAGTTGAGGATATGGTACCCTGCCTGTGGCGCTGGAAATGTTCCTGGCTGTCCACACAGATTTTCTGGGGGCAACCGATACCGCAGTTCAGCTGGCAGCCAGTATTGATAGGCTACTGGCGGCTGGGTCTTATCTTCTACCGGCTGATATTGTGGACACTGCATTTGGAATGGCATTGCCATGACAGAAACTCTATCTTTTTCTATTTGATCTTCTTTTGGAGTTTGTACTTGTTTAACCTGCATTTGAGGTTGTAAAGTTACAGGCATTTGAGCTGCTGGAAGAGCAGTTGGCCATCGTGGTTTAGACTCTGATGGCTCTGCTAATTCTGGATTTTTTTCTTCTAATTTTAACGTTTCAGGATATACTACCTCCTGTAATTGATTATTGTCAACATTTTGCGTTGACCGAGCCATAGCCGGCTCTGATACACATTCACAGTGTGAACTTTCCTTTCCTTTCCGGGATTCTATCCCTGCCTCTTTTTCACAATCTACTGCACAGCTTTTAGGGACATCAGAAATTGGAACGCTATCTTCTTCTGTTTGAAATGGTTCTAAAGCTACTTTAATAATGACCCAATCATTCCATACTGTGAGCGGAATGTTTTTACCTTCCCTGCTTGCTTGTTTTAATTCTTTGCCAATTTTTTCCCAATCTTTTAGATCTAAAGTTCCCTGTTCTGGAAACCATGGACAAAACTGCTCTATTATTTGAAATAGCGTAATTAGATTTTTGGTAGAGACTTTAACTCCCCCTCTTTTTAAGAGAATTTTAATAAAGCTGCGATAAGAGGCATATTTACTCTTAGTTTGCCCATTGTTACCCTAGGTTCTTCCGAGCGCACAAGCTTACCGCAAGGCTGACTGTAGACGTACTCGGGAGTCTCTCGTCGACTTGTCCTCAATGACCACGCTCCAGCGTACCTTCACCTTAGAGAAAAGCTTCCACGTTGGGCACCAGATGAAGGGGTGGCCTGCCCCTCCACACCTGTGGATGTTTCTCGTTAGGTGGAACGAGAGACTGAGAAAAGAAATAAGACACAGAGACAAAGTATAGAGAAAGAAAAGCGGGGGCCCAGGGGACCGGCGCTCAGCTTACAGAGGACCCACGCCGGCACCGGCCTCTGAGTTCCCTTAGTATTTATAGATAATTATCTTTACCATCTTAAGGATAAGGGAGTGGCAGGACAATAGGATCATTTTTAGGGAGGAAATTAGCAGTAAGACATAAGAACAAGGATCTGTGACATGAATAAGTTTAAAGGTAAATCCTGTGCCTTCAGATAACCTTTTAGCAACATTGTTTCATCTTATCACATGGGATAAACCTTGGACAATACTAGCTTTTCTAGGAACAAAGTCACACCCTGCACGCCCAAAATCCATTAAACCTTGAGTTACCACAGCACATGTCTCTTGCAAGGACAAGGTTGGGGGTAGGGTCACAGATTAACAGCATCTCAAATACAGAACAAAATGGAGTCTCTTATGTCTACTTCTTTCTATATAGACACAGTAACAGGCTGATCTCTTTCTTTTCCCCACATGTTGTATTAAATTTTTCAATAAAATTTTGTTTAGAAAAAAAGAAAAGATGGTGAGAAGTGGGTGGATCTAGGAATATGAAAAGCCAGCACGTTTTGTGGAGGAGTGAGAATGAGACCATCATCCCTCCAGGGATAGAAAAAAATCATGGTCAGAGGAGATGGAGAAACAGGAAAGGGGCAGACTGGGGATGGCAGAATTGGCTGTTTGGGTTTGTAGAGCAAAGGATGAAGAAAACAGCTACAGAGAGCAGTGACCTTCCTCCCCCATGTCACACACATAGGTGCGTGCACGTGCACACACACACACACACACACACACACACACACACAGGCACATGCTTAACCCAAAGGGTCACTGAACTCCAAGTCCAGGTGACGTGGGTTCTAGCCCCAGACCTGCCATTCAGACTCCACGTGTCACAGTGTGGCAGGGTGAGTCATAGAAAGGGAGCTGGGTTCATGGCTAGTTCTGTAAGAATTATGAAGTTCAGCAAGTCACATCAACTACTAAGCCTGATAAGGAAAATGAGTCAACTTGAACCCTTTTATCGCTAACAGCTTGATTCCAACTCCTAACCCCAGGGTCCAGGAGTAACCCATAGACAAGCGAATGGAGATAAGGAGACAGCTCCGGGAAAAAAAAAGCAGGAGGCAAGAGAAGCAGGAGTCTGGGGGAGCTGACTACAGTCATCCGTAATACATCTGGCTGTGTCCGGCAGGTCCTCCCGCCCCAGCCAGAGGAGAGGGTGCTGGGGCCCAGGCGGGCCAAGGCTGAAGCTGAGCGGGCAGACAAGGGCAGTCTGCACCTGAGGGCTCTGACGGAGGAGAATGCTGAAGCAACACCATTTCCCCTTCATCAGCTCAAGTCTAGGAAAGGGAAGTCAGCAGTCGCCACACCGTATTAGGTCATGACCCTGTCTATCTTCCTATCCCCGTCACCAGCTCCTTCTCCTCCTTCCCCGAGGTCTTCCCCCTTTGGCTCCTCAGAACAGGAAGGCTGCAATTAAGATGAATGAGACTAAGGTGGCAGGGACAGAATCCCCAAAGATGGTGAGAAAGGGTCACTTCCGGATTCCAGGTGTTATGCTGGAGTGGGGGAGAAGCCAGGGTCAGAGAGCTGGAATTCCACTTGCACATCCTTCAGCCCCTCCCTGGAGCTCGGTCTCTCCTCTACTAAAGCTGGGAGGATTCCTTGTGCCCCTCTCTGCAATCATGTACCAATAAGACCACATAAGGCTTTGCATTTCCAGGAGAAACTGGCTCAGGCCAGTTTCTCCTCCACCACCACCAGGCAGCTGATGGGAGGCAGGCAGATGACGGTTCATTGCCTCCAGGTGGTAAGTGGGACTCAGCAAATGCGGCAGCGGGGGTGGGGAGGTTAGTGATGATGGTGACTAAAGGAGATAAGGAAAAGGAGGTTCAGACACTGGAGAGGGCAAGTCTCCCCAAACACTGCGAGGTAGGTCCCCTGAAGGGACGGCACCATGTCTTCCCCCTTCCACCCTAACATGGAAGACGCTCATGGGCACACAGCAGACACTCAGCAACGCCCATAGGCACACAGCAGATGCTCAGCAATGACCATGGAGGAATTCACCAGACCGTTTGCCCCTCTTAAGACCCTGTGAAGAACGATCACTTTCGTGGTGCAACCAAGGGCCATGGGAGTGTGTACCCTCCCCCAGCCCCATGACCACCCAGAAGCTTGGGTGGTGACTTGTATCCACTCCCTACCCCCATCCAGCTCTCCAGACATTCCTTTATGCAACAAACATTTATTGAGCATCTGCCTACTTGCTTCAAGCAGGATGATGGGCTAGACACGGAGCATACATAAACGGGCAAGACTCAGTCCCTGGCCACAAGGCCCTCACAGTCCAGTTGGGGAGGCAGACACAAATGTACAAGAAAGTATGGTGCAACAGCAACACTCCAGCAGATGTTATAGTGTGCTACGGGAGCCCACGAGAAAGGGGAGTGATCAATTTTTGGGACGACAAGATGTGGCAGAAGCCTTCACAAAAGTAATGGTGTCTGAGCAGGGTTCTGAGGGATGCATAGGAGTTCTCCGGTAGATGGCTGGGGAAGCTTTCAGGCTGAGAAAATATCTTGAGCAGACATGTAGAGGGACGAAAGACACAGGACAGAAGCGCTGGAGCATGGCTCTGTGAGGGCACGGGTATGAGCCTAGAGGAGCCCTGGAGCTGCCTTTACTTATACGGGTCTGCTCTGGCCCTGGCTCTCGGGAGTCAGGGAAGGGGAATTGCCTAAGTAATAAAGGGGGCTTTTGGGTGGGGTTTCCCACCCAAGTTCAAGATGAGGAGCAGACATCTGTGTTACTGGAGAGCAGTGTGGCCAGGTCAGTCAGGGGCTGGCTTCAGCTGTCGCCAGGCAGGAAACGCGTGCATGCCTGTGTGTACCCTTGGTTGTGTTTTGTCCTGGTCATCAGCCATTTCTTAGGAAAGTTCCTTGTCAAAGCTCCAAGTTTGGCTTGGCTGATCCAAGGGAAAAGGAGACTTAGCTGCAGTTGGGTGGGGAAACCAGAGTGTTCAGAGGCAGTACCAAGGGGTACAGAGCCAGAGCCAAGGCACTTCTGGGCAGCTTCATTGGCCACTGTTCTTGGAACAACTTCCTGAGCCCCTTACCCATCTCGCTTCCCCTCCACACATCAAAGGCAGTTTGGGCGGCTCTGAGAGGAAGCCCTGCACATCCTTCAATCTTGCCAAGGGCAGCACCCTCCCACCAGGGGAGCATCTGCCTTGGTGCAAGGAACCTCTCCTCTCTCAGGGCCCCCCCAGAGGATAGGCAGTGGAGCTGGCCCCTCCGGAGCCCCCTGGAGATGGGCAGGGGCCCAGGGTGGCATAGGCAGGGGGAGGGGCTGTCAAGGCTGGGGAGGGAGCAGGGCCTAGTTGGGACAAGTACAGAGATGTGGGGTGGGGGCAGAAGTGGGAAGGCGGGGAGGATGCCTGGGTGGAGGCCACCTCCTGAGCACCCCTGTCCCCTCGGCCTGGAGACCAGTATCGGCTTCGGAACCTTCGGAGCAGCAGGAGGAATGTGATGACCAGCAGGTCAAAGATGAGCTCAGCCATCTCCACCACAGACAGCACTGAGGAGCCGAACCACAGGCTCCACTGGCTGCCCAGGTTGGACAGGAGGGTGACCATCTGTGAGAGAAGAGGTACATTGACGATGGGACAGAGGGTTCTGGATGGACTCTGGCAGAGGAGCCCCCATTCCTCCTCACCAAGCTGTCTCCCTTCATCCCTGAGGACCCCTGAGTCCTGTCGGCCTCTCAGCAGCCCCCTGGGCTCCTTGTCTCTGCTCCTGGCCAGCGTCACCCAGAGAAAACTGGCAACTGGCCCACAGTCAGGGGCAGCTGAAATGGGGGCATGGCTCAAGCGCCTTCACCTCAGCATCTAGCATGCCTATCCCTCCCACCACCCCCAGAGACCTTATGCCCCGGCCGAGCTCCTTCTTCCAACCCTCCTGACCTCTCCCTTGACCCTCTTCTTTGGTCCCCCGCCTTTAAGACCCAGAGCCTTCTGGCCCACAGACAACCTTTTGGTTTCCCCTGACAGCTGCCCTGCTAAGTAAGACCCTCAGAGCATCACAGGCTCCATCCAGGCACGACCTACCGTGACAGAGGGAGACTCAGAATTGGTTTTGTAGTTCAGCTCCTTGAAGAAGATGTTGACTTTGGCCACTCCATTTCTTAGGTGTGGGGCAGAGGGTGGGAAGAAATGGTAGAGGATGAACTTCCTGGACCTTCCTCTAATCAACCATATCGATCCCTCTTCCTAGGTCTATTTTCCCTCCCAAAGATTCCTTTCTTGTGGCTGGGACCAGGGCGGGACTCACCTCTTGTTGTTGATGGTGTAGTTGTTCTGTCGCGATAGCATCTCGAAGACCCATTCCTAGGAAAGAATGGGGCTGTCATCAAGGTCCATACGCTTCAGGCTTACAGGGATAGGTTGTGTCAAACACACCCATACACAAAATACCCAGAGAAGGCCACAGCATTACACGGGCATACACATCCCCCACCCGTCGCTTCCCCACACTCTACCTGGGATGTCACCGAGGGCCATCGTGAGTAACCAGCCGAGAGCTGGTAGCTGGTCACACTGGGGATGGAGAAAGGTGTTCAGTGTTGGGGCAGAGCTCTCCCACTCGAAGGCTTGGCTGGGTAACCTGTATTCTACCCAACCTGCACCCGGGCAAGGGACACTAACCTGCATGGCTTCCGGCACTTGGTGAAACAGCCCAGGTGGTCTGAGGAGAAGTCAGCCTGGAGCTTATAGTAGCAGTAGCCTGTGGGTACAGAGAGATGCCTGTTCTCCTAGGGCACCTCAACTTTCTCTACCCCACACCCAAGAGGTCTCCCAAGATCCCTGGGTACCCACTTTACGAGAGCATTATTTAGCATTATAATGATGTCCTATGAGTGGCAGTACCAAGAAGTACCAAATGTTTAAGAAATTAAGTTGCCGGGCGCGGTGGCTCAAGCCTGTAATCCCAGCACTTTGGGAGGCCGAGACGGGCAGATCACGAGGTCAGGAGATCGAGACCATCCTGGCTAACACGGTGAAACCCCGTCTCTACTAAAAATACAAAAAACTAGCCGGGCGAGGTGGCGGGCGCCTGTAGTCCCAGCTACTCGGGAGGCTGAGGCAGGAGAATGGCGTAAACCCAGGAGGCGGAGCTTGCAGTGAGCTGAGATCTGGCCACTGCACTCCAGCCCGGGCGACACAGCAAGACTCCATCTCAAAAAAAAAAAAAAAAAAGAAATTAAGTTAGGCCAGGGACAGTGGCTCAGCTCTTTGGGAGGCTGAGGTGGGAGGGTCGTTTGAGGCCAGGAGTTCAAGGTTGCAAGTGAGCTATGAGTGTGCCTTTGTACTCCAACCCTGGCAACAGAGTGAGACCTTGTCTCTAAAAAAAAATTTTGTTTTTGTTTTTGTTTTTTTTTTTTGAGATGGAGTCTCACGCTGTTGCCCAGGCTGGAGTGCAGTGGCACGATCTCGGCTCACTGCAAGCTCCGCCTCCCGGGTTCCCGCCATTCTTCTGCCTCAGCCTCCTGAGTAGCTGGGACTACAGGCGCCCGCCACCGCGCCCGCTAATTTTTTGTATTTTTAGTAGAGACGGGGTTTCACTGTGGTCTCGATCTCCTGACCTTGTGATCCGCCCGCCTCGGCCTCCCAAAGTGCTGGGATTACAGGCTTGAGCCACTGCGCCCGGCCAAAAATTTTTAAATAAATTAATTTTTTTTCTTTTTTTTAGACGGAGTCTCAGTCTGTTGCCCAGGCTAGAGTACAGTGGCATGATCGCGGCTCACTACAAGTTCCGCCTCCCGGGTTCACGCTATTCTCCTGCCTCAGCCTCCCAAGTAGCTGGGACTACAGGCGCCCACCACTATGCCCGGCTAATTTTTTGTATTTTTAGTAGAGACAGGGTTTCTCTGTGTTAGCCAGGATGGTCTCGATCTCAAGACCTCATGATCCGCCCGCCTTGGCCTCCCAAAGTGCTGGTATTACAGGCGCGAGCCACCGCACCCGGCCTAAAAAATAAATTAATAAAGAAAGAAAATAAGCTAAGTCAGGGGAAAAACAAAACAAAACAGGATACACCAGTGTAAGGAAATACACACTATGGACAAAAACTTAAACGCCATAAAGAAAAATGGGAACAATAATTGTATAAGAATAAGGGAACTATGCCACAATAAGATAACACTTCATGCCCATTAAGATGTCTATTATTTAAAAAAAGACAATACGCCAGGTGCGGTGGCTCGTGCCTGTAATACCAACACTATGGGAGGCTGAGGCAGGTGGATCACCTGAGGTCAGGAATTCGAGACCAGCTTGGCCAACATGGTGAAATCCAGTCTCTACTGAAAATACAAAAATTAGCCAGGTGTGGTGGTGCACACCTGTAATCCCAGCTACTTGGGAGGCTGAGGCAGGATAATTATTTGAACCCAGGAGGTGGAGGTTGTAGTGAGCCAAGATCGTGCCACCGCACTCCAGCCTGAGCAACAGAGTGAGAGTCTTCTCAAAAATTAAATTAAATTAAATTTAAATTTTAAAAGATAATAACAAGAACTGGCAGGATATAGAGAAACTGAAAACCTCATATACTGCTGCTAGGGATGTACAATGGTGATGTCACTTTGGAAAACAGCCTGGCAGCTCCTCAGAAAAGGTTAAACATAGATTACCGTATGACCCAGCAATTCCGCTCCTAGGTATATACGCAAAAAAATGGAAAACATGTGTCCACACAAAAACTTGTACACAAATGCTCACAGCAGCATTATTCACAGTAACCAAAAAGTGGCAACAACACAAATGTCCACTAACTGATAAATGGGTAAACAAAGTGTGGTCTATCCATACAAGGGAGTGTCGTTATTCCGCCATATAAAGGAATGAGGCACTGCTATTGCTACAATATGGATGAAACTTGAAAATATTATGCTAAGTGAAATAAGGCAGACACGAAGGTCACACACTCTAAGATTCCGTCTGTATGAAAGATTCAGAATGGCCGGGCGCGGTGGCTCACACCTGTAATTCCAGCACTTTGGGAGGCCGAGGCAGGTGGATCACCTGAGGTCAGGAGTTCAAGACCAGCCTGATCAATATGGTGAAACCCCGTCTCTACTAAAAAATATAAAAATTAGCCGGGCGTGGTGGCATGCGCCTGTAGTCCCAGGTACTTGGGAGGCTGAGACAGGAGAATTGTTTGAACCTGAGAGGTGGAGGTTACAGTGAGCCGAGACTGCGCCACTGCACTCCAGTCTGGGCGACAGAGGGAGATTCTGTCTCTGAAAAAAAAAAAAAAAGATTCAGAATAGGCAAATCCATAGAGAAAGAAAGAATCGTGGTTGCCCAAGGGCTGGCAGTGGTGGAAGAGGGGAGGGAAGCTTGGGATTTGCTAATGAGTACAAGGTTTATCTATTTATTTTTTTGAGACAGGGTCTCACTCCATCGCCCAGGCTGGAGTGCAGTGGCCTGATCATGGCTCACTACAGCCTCGACCTCCTGGGCTCAGGTGATTCTCCCACCTCAGCCTCCCAAGTGGCTGGGACTATAGGTGTGCACCACCATGCCCAGCTAATTTTTGTAAAGACAGGGTTTCACCATGTTGCCCAGGTTGGTGTCGAACTCCTGGGCTCAAGTGATCTGCCCACCTTGGCCTCTCAAAATGCTGGGATTACAGGCATGAACCACCATGCCCGGCCTGAGTGAGTACAAGGTTTCTTTTGGGAACACTAAAAATATTCCAAAATTGATGGTGGTGATGATTGCACAACTCTGGGACTATACTGAAAACCTAAAACTAAAAACTAAAATTTGACTAAAATGAAGCTGTACGCTTTAAATGAGTGAATCCTATGGGATATAAATTATGTCAATAAAGCTATTACCAAAAAAAAAAAAAAAAAGAATAATGGAACTGCAGATTCCCCTCCTCCCCTATTTCCCAAATTCTAAGTAAGGTTATTTTGTCATTATTGCTACTTTTAGTTCCTCAGTCCGAAGTCCTTCTTCATTTCTGACCCAAATCCCTACCAGGGTTGGAGATCTTTGGAAGAAGGGGAAGCAGCTGGTCCTCTTCTCCGGGGAAGTAAGCCCTAGGAAATGCAGCAGACTGTGTTTTTAGCCTTACTTCCTCTCTCATCCTCACAACTTCTCAGCAATCAATATTGTTATTTTTCACTCACAGATGTGCAAACCCATGACATAGAAATAATTATTTGAGGGAAGGGAGAAATCCTGGGTGGCATCCCCTCTGTCCCGGTCCTGTATACCCTGGGACATGTCACATCCTCCCCCTGGACCTCAATTTGCTCATCTGAGAAAGGAGGTGAGGCCAGATGGCCTTTGGGTTTCCCCCAGTTCTGATGTGCTACACTCCTCTAAGGTCAGAGAGACAGGAACCAGGAGGCCACGACTGGAAAGTCCAGGCAGAAGAGAACTGCGGAGCCAGCCCAGGGAAGGACAGAAGTGGAAAAGTCACCACAGACAGGAACAAGGTAGGGATGGACGCTGAACTCTGGGGTGAGACAATCCGCTGCCTTTGAGGCCTCCGTGTCTCCAGTGTCCGCTACCATGTCACCTCCCGGGATGGCCCTCGGCCCACCCTGTGGGACAGCTGGGCCCAGGGGAGAGCCCTGGGAGGAGGAACTGCAGGGGGAACAGGCTGGTTGTGCTGGGGAAGAGCATGCACTCCAGGAATGCAAACCCTTGCAGCTTCCATATTTTATTTTTGTGATTTTCTTTCTCTCTCAGCTTCCTGGCACACAACTTCCCTACCAAACAACTCAGCTGTAGTCCAAAGGAAAGAGATTTGTCTACTCCTACACCAGGATAAGGAGGAGATTCCAAGGTGCTTCAAACTTTATTGATTGTGCCCTTGTTCAGGTTAAAAAAAAAAATCTTAAATAAGCAGGTCCAATATACATATTTGATTTATAAATTACATACCTCTACTGTTGAATGGATACAGTACGTCCATTCTAAAGCACATAAGATGGAAAATGTGAAGGAACGAGACAGACCCATGTAACTTCTAATATTTTCTTCCTGCGCCCCAGGGAAGTGTTGTGTACCCCACCCAGCCCCTCCGGAGCCTGCCCAGCTAAGCACCCTGGGTACTGAGCAGGGAAGCTGTGGGCAGAGCGTGCACGGAAACCTCAGCAGCCAGTGAGGAACGGCTGGAGGTTTTCTCGCACCCTGGGCACTGAGCAGGGAAGCTGCGGGCAGAGCGTGCACGGAAACCTCAGCGGCCAGTGAGGAACGGCTGGAGGTTTTCTCGGGTGCTCTTCTTCCTTCTGCTGCAGGTTGTTTTAAATGGGACAGTTCCTTGACAAACACACAAAGGCCAAAACAGAGACTGCAACACTGAGAGGGAGGAAAGAAACAGAAGAGAGAGGGAGGCCAAGGCGGGCGGATCATGAGGTCAGGCGATCGAGACCATCCTGGCTAACACAGTGAAACCCAGTCTCTACTAAAAATACAAAAAAATTAGCCAGGTGAGGTGGCGGCGCCTGTAGTCCCAGCTACTTGGGAGGCTGAGGCAGAAGAATGGCGTGAACCCGGGAGGCGGAGCTTACAGTGAGCTGAGATCGCACCACTGCACTCCAGCCTGGGTGACAGAGCGAGACTCCGTCTCCAAAAAAAAAAGAGAGGAGAGACTGAGGGTGAGGGAAACTGACAGAGGCAGAGACTAAAGGCTGAAAAACAAGAGCAAGGGAGGACTCATCCCAGCAGGTGGGATGTCATCCCAGCCAGAAGTCATCCCCACAAACAGGGGACTGACAGGAAGAAGCGCCTCAGTGAGTACTGGGGTCAGTAGGCAGGGCAGGGACTCCCTGGAGTCTCACCCCAGGAACTGTGCTTCCTGTAGTCACAGTACTCCATGTTCTGCGGCCGCGGATAGAAGATGTAGGCACAGCCACACTCCTTGATCATGTTCTCCTGGAAGCAGGAGTGAATACACACCTGGAAGGGAGGAGGGTGGAGAGGAGAGGGGGTTCGGGACTGAACTCAGCAGATCTCTGCACAGAGCCTCCATCCTCTTTTCACCACCCCCCAGTTTCCCTCTCTCTCACACACACACAATCCCTCCAGCTTTGCAGGACCAGCCAGGGCAGGCCTGGGAGTGGCTGCCACAGAAGCAGGTTGGGCCTCACCTGCTGCGTGTACTTTGAAGGGTAAAGGTTCTTGACAGGGACATCACTGCCATTCTTGGTGCAGTCGCCATAGTCGCCCCCAAGTCTGTCCAGGGCTTCCTATGAACCCACATACACCAAGAGATCAGAGGACAGAGCAAGTGCCTCCGGGTTCTCTCCCTTCCCTCAGTTCCAGGTTGTATCTCACACCGGCCAGCCCCTCCTACCAGCCTCACCCTCTCAATACATGCCTCTAGCCACCTCATGCCCACCCACTGCTCATTTCTTTTTTTTTTTGAGACGGAGTCTCACGCTGTTGCCCAGGCTGGAGTGCAGTGGCGCGATCTCGGCTCACTGCAAGCTCCGCCTCCCGGGTTCCCGCCATTCTCCTGCCTCAGCCTCCTGAGTAGCTGGGACTACAGGCGCCCGCCACCGTGCCCGGCTAATTTTTTGTATTTTTAGTAGAGACGGGGTTTCACTGTGGTCTCGATCTCCTGACCTTGTGATCCGCCCGCCTCGGCCTCCCAAAGTGCTGGGATTACAGGCTTGAGCCACCGCGCCCGGCCCCACTGCTCATTTCAAGGCCACTGGGCCCAGAGCATCCCCAGAAATCCTAAGCATGCCCTGAATGCCTTCTCAGCACTTGTCCCCCAAGGTCCACCCTGCAGGGCCTTACTTCCCAGTGCCAGCCCCTCTGCCCCTCGTTCCTGCTCCTGAAGACCTCCACATGCTCAAGACCCACCCCACACACTCTCCCTCCGCAGCCTCCCATGCCTTCCCCCTGCCCCTCTGCAATCTGAGGCTCTCCTTCCCGGCCTCCCAGTCAGCATCCTTGCCTTCCTCATGCTGATGGAGGTCTCCACGCCAGGCCGCAAGTTAAAGCCACCATCATCCATAAAGGCAGGTTCATCCTGCCCGTGCACCATTACCCGGGCCCCAGTCACTGTGGACAGCAGGGGAATGAAGTCATTCTGCTCTGTGCGCAGCATCAGGGACAGACCTAGGGGTGCAGAGAGAGCAGAGTTGGCAGAGGCGGGAATCCTGGAGAAGAGTTAGAAGATGGAAATCCACTCTCCTTTCCTTGCCCAGTCTCCAACACTGCAAGAGGAGCAAGTTCAGGAAGACCCGCAAAGGGACCTGGCAACCCATGGGCTGGAATCTGGAGGCAGGAGGAAGACCTGGGACAGGATTCCTCTCATGCCTGGAACGGACTATGTGGCACCTGTTGGGGAGAGAGAGCACAGGGGACCCCTCCCAGCAGTTCTAGGAGGTGAGCTCAAGGTAAGTACACGGGAGTGGCTGAGGCAGAGGGCTCCATGGAGCAAGCGGGGAGTTGCTCACCGTTGTTGACTCCAGGCATGGAAGACATCCAGAGGTTAGAGTTGTTCTTGTCATTGAAAGTATAGCAGTTTCCATACATTGGGTGGTGGAAGTGAGAGTAATTCCTTATCAGGAAAGAGAGAGTAGGGTCAGAGAAGAAAGTGTAGGTGGTCCAGGGAGCAGGGAGATGAGGCAGAGAGAATTCTCCACTCCCTTAAATCCCTACAGGACTTGGGCTTTCAGAGTCGTTTGTTTCCTGATCACCTACCATGTGCTGGCACAATGCTGAGAGCTTTACTCACACTCCCTCAGTCACTCCAACCAACAGCCTGTGAGAGTCTCATCCTCATATCACAGAGGAGGAAGCTAAGGCTCAGAGAGCTCAAACAGCCGGCCCAAGGTCCCATTGCGATAATGAGCCTGGGGGTTCACACCTAGGTCATCTACCTTCTAGCCCAGGCTCCTCTCACCAGGCCATCTAGGCTCACCGGCCTTGACTTCCGTGCTGCCTTGTAACTTCTCTCTTGTTGCACTACAAAGATTCTTGCATGTCCCTAACTGCCCATGTGTCTAAATGTTAGTTCCCCATTGAATCATGAGCTCCTTGATAACAGCAGCCACATCTCATTCATCTCTGTGTCATCTCTAGGTTAGCTGCATAGTTCCTGTCATCTAGGAGATAGAGGAGATGATTAATAAATAGTTGTTGAGTGAGGAATGAACGAATGAATGAATGAATGAAGTGGGGAGGTGGAGGGGAGCAGGGTTAAAGGAGAAAGTGTGAGCAGTGGTGAGCACGGAGCTGAGGGGAGGACGATCAGTACCAAGTGCTTCCGGGCAGCCTCTTGCATCGGCATGTCTCAGAACGGTAGGTCCAAAACTCATCTGTGACAGGTGTGGGGACAGAGAAAATGCAATCACAGAGGCATCACGGCTGCAGTAGGACTGTAATTTCACAGCAAACCACAGGTTCCAGAACAGGGAGCCTGTGTGGGGTAAAGCACAGCACGTGTGCCACACAGCACAGACAGTATCTGTGTTCTGCTACCCTGCCATCTTGGAGCTAATGACAGGAGCAGGGCAAAGAAGGAAAGGGGACTTCGGCCAGTGAGCAGCAGAGGAGGAATAAAGAGAAGAGGGAGAAGAGGCTGGCCAGAGATAAGGAGTGGGGTTCTGGTTGTACGACCTTGAGCAAGTCATTGTTTCTTTTTTTTTTTTTTTTTTTTTTTTTTTTTGAGACGGAGTCTCACTCTGTCGCCCAGGCTGGAGTAGAGTGGCCGGATCTCAGCTCACTTTAAGCTCCGCCTCCCGGATTTACGTCATTCTCCTGCCTCAGCCTCCCGAGTAGCTGGGACTACAGGCGCCCGCCACCTCGCCCAGCTAGTTTTTTGTATTTTTTTAGTAGAGACGGGGTTTCACCGTGTTAGCCAGGATGGTCTCGATCTCCTGACCTTGTGATCCGCCCGTCTCGGCCTCCCAAAGTGCTGGGATTACAGGCTTGAGCCACCGCGCCCGGCCGCAAGTCGTTGTTTCTAAGCTTATTCTCCTCCTCTGTAAAATGTAGGATGGTTCTGTGAAATGAGGAGATTGGAACCAGATGATCCGGGATATTCCATTGGCCCTTGAAGAACACAGGCACAGAGGCATGACATACTGGTGCCCATTCTAGGAGGTACTGGGAAGTCAGCACTTCTAGAGCCCAGACTAGATGCAGGGAAGGACTGAAGGAGAGGCTACAGAAGTGGCCAGTCCTGAAGGCTGGAGAGCCCTTTGCACACAGAGAGGGGACAAGCACAATGTGGTGGGTGCCGCCCCCATGGAAAGCAGGCACAGGTTCGATCAGCAGGTGAGGTGGAGCAACATGGATGGATTTTAAAGCATAGAGCTTCGTTGAATTAAATAAATAAAAAGTGGCGGGGCATAGTGGCTCACACCTGTAATTCCAACACTTTGGGAGGAGGCTGAGGCGGGTGGATCAGTTGAAGTCAGAAGTCCGAGACCAGCCTGGCCAACATGGTGAAACCCCGTCTCTACCAAAAATATAAAAATTAGCCAGGTGTGGTGGCGGGCGTCTATTACCTCAGCTACTCAGGAGGCTGAGGCAGAAGAATCGCTTGAACTTGGGAGGTTCAGTGAACTGAGATTGCACCACTGCACTCTACAGTGAGACTCTGTCTCAAAAAAAAAAAAAAAAGTAAGAGGTGAAATGGGATCTATAACACAGTACCATTTATGTAAATTAAATACAGATTTTGCAAAAACACATAGAGATACACACTAAGCACATTAATATAGTGGCCTATGAGAATCAGTATAATGTGGTGGTTAAGAGCACAGACTAAGCCGGGCGCGGTGGCTCATGCCTATAATCTCAGAACTTTGGGAGGCTGAGGCGGGTGGGGTCACCTGAGGTCAGGAGTTTGAGACCAGCCTGGCCAACATGTGAAACCCCATCTCTACTAAAAATACAAAATTAGCTGGACATAGTGGTGCATGCCTGTAATCCCAGCTATTCAGAAGGCTGAGGCAGGAGAATCACTTGAACTTGGGAGGCAGAGGTTGTGGTGAGCTGAGATTGCGCCATTGCACTCCAGCCTGGCCAGTAAAAGCGAAACTCCATCTCCAAAAAAAAAAAAAAAAAAAAAAAAAAAGAGCACAGACTCCAGAATTAAATTCCTTGTATTTGAATCCTGGGGCTCTAACAAGTATTCGATGTGGGACCAAACAAGTTACTTACTTAATCTGTACCTCAGTTTCCTCAGCTGTAAAATTGGGATAATAAAAATATCAACCTCACAGGGGTGTCGAGCATGAAATTATGCTTAGAATGGTGTTTAGCCTTAGTAAGAGCTGTATTAGCTCACTAGCACAATTACAGGGATTCATTAAGATGGCTAAAGTCGAAAAGACAGAAAACAACATGAGGAGGATGTAGAGAATTTAGAATCTTCATACATTGCTGGGCCGGGCGCGGTGGCTCAAGCCTGTAATCCCAGCACTTTGGGAGGCCGAGACGGGCAGATCATGAGGTCAGGAGATCGAGACCATCCTGGCTAACACGGTGAAACCCCGTTTCTACTAAAAATACAAAAAACTAGCCGGGCGAGGTGGCGGGCGCCTGTAGTCCCAGCTACTTGGGAGCCTGAGGCAGGACAATGGCGTGAACCTGGGAGGCGGAGCCTGCAGTGAGCCGAGATCGCGCCACTGCACTCCAGCCTGGGCGACAGAGCGAGACTCCATCTCAAAAAAAAAAAGAATCTTCATACATTGCTGTTGGGAACGTTAAATGGTACAGCCGTTTGGAAAAGTCTCGCAGTTCCTCAGAATGTTAAATATAGAGTTACCACATGACCCCGCAGTTCCACTCGTAGGTGAACACCCAAGAGAAATACAAACATAGATCCATACAAAAACATGTACAGGAACGTTCACAGCAGCATTATTCATAATAGCCAAAAAGTGGAAACAATCCAAATGTCCATCAACTGAGAATGGATAAGCAAAAATGTGGGCCAGGCGTGGTGGCTCACGCCTATAATCCCAGCACTTTGGGAGGCCGAGGCAGGAGAATGGCTTGAGCTCAGGAGTTAGAGATCAGCCTGGGCAACATAGTGAGAGCTAGTCTCCACTAAAATTAAAAAAAAAATAGCTGGGCATGGTGGCCTGAGCCTGTAGTCCCAGCTACTTGGGAGGCTGAATCAGGAAGACCGTTTCAGCCCGGGAAATCAAGGCTGCGGTGAGGTCTGATCATGCCACTGTACTCCAGCCTGAGTGACTGAGTGAGAACCTGTCTCAAAAAAAAAAAAGTGGTATATCTACCCAATGTAATAGTATTCAGCCATAAAAATGAAGTTCTGATCCAGCTACAACATGGATAAGTTTTGAAAACGTTATGCTAAGTGAAAGAGGCCACTCACAAAAGGCCACATATTGTAAGATTCCATTTATGTGAAACGTCCACCATAGGCAATCCATAGAGACAGAAAGCAGAAGAGTGGCTCTCAGGGCTTGGAGGAGGGGAGAAAATGGGGAAGAACTGCTAATGGGTACAGGGTTTCTTTCTGGGGTGAGGAAAATGTTCTAAAAACAAGTCGTGGTGGCCGGGCACGGTGGCTTACGCCTGTAATCCCAGCACTTTGGGAGGCTGAAGTGGGCGGATCACAAGGTCAGGAGATCGAAATCATTCTGGCTAACACAGTGAAACCCCATCTCCACTAAAAATACAAAAAATTAGCAGGGCGTGGTGGTGGGCGCCCGTAGTCCCAGCTACTCGGGAGGCTGAGGCAGGAGAATGGCGTGAACCCGGGAGGCAGAGCTTGCAGTGAGCTGAGATCGCGCCACTGTACTCCAGCCTGGGCGACGGAGCGAGGCTCTGTCTCAAAAAAAAAACAAAAAAAACAAAAAAACAACAAAAAAAAAACCAGGTCGTGGTAATGGTTACACAACTCCAAATATACTAAAAATCACTAAATTATACATATTAAAAGGATACATTTATGGTAAGTAAATTATATGTCAATAAAAGTGTTATTTAAAAAAGATTACAGGGTAGGGGAAAAGGGTGTAGTTACGGGGGAGGAGAGTGGTGAGAAAGCCATGCTAAGGAGCTCCAGCTTGATGCTGGAGGCCATGAGAGACACTGAAGGATTTTAAACAGCAGGATATAGTTTGGATGTTCATCTCCTCCAAATCTCATGTTGAAATGTGATCCCCAATGTTGGAGGGGATCCTAGTGGGAGGTGTTTGGGTCACAGGGGCGGGCCCCTCTTGAATGGCTTGGTGCCCTCCTTGCAGTAATGAGTGAATTCTCACACTATTAATTAGTTCAAGAGCCTGGTCTCTCTCTTGCCCCCTCTCCTCCCCTTCCACCATGGGTAAAAGTTTCCCGAGTCCTCCCAGAAGCTGAGCAGATGCTGGTGCCATGCTTGTACCATCTGCAGAACCCTCAGCCAATTAAACCTCTTTTCTTTATAAATTACCCAGACTCAGATATTCCTTTTTTTTTTTTTTTTTCCCAGATGGAGTCTTGCTCTGTTGCCCAGGCTGGAGTGCAGTGGTGCGATCTCAGCTCACTGCAACCTCCACCTCTTGGGTTCAAGCGATCCTCCTGGCTCAGCCTCCTGAGTAGCTGAGGCCACAGGTGCGTGCCACCACACCTGGCTAATTTTTATATTTTCAGTAGACACGGGGTTTCACCACGTTGGTGGGGCTGATCTCTAACTCCTGACCTCAGGTGATCCGCCCATCTCGGTCTCCCAAAGTACTGGGATTAGAGGCTGGAGCCACCACGCCCAGTGAGATATTCCTTTATAGCAACACAAAATGGGCTAACACACAGGACTAACTGGAATAGTGACGTGTGGTGACGTGAAGTAAGGATGAAGTACAAAGATTCCTGTGGTTGCAGAAGGAAGGGATGATTTGGAGGCAGAAGAACACAGTAGGGTGGAGGGGTGGGTATAACAACCCAAGCGAGAAATGAGGCTCTGAGCTGATCTAAGTGCCTAAGTGCCAAGACAAAGATGAACCATGGACTTTCTGTTGATGGGGAGGCAGGCACACAGAGCAAAGGGAGGGCAGCGGATGAGGGCATAGGAAAAGCACAGGTGCCTGAGTAATGGTTAGATGATCCTGGTGGCAGGTGTGGGCTGACTCAGGCTTAGGCGTTGCTACCATCTTACTTCCCAGCTGGTAGTTTCTGTCCTTAAACAAACAAAAAGACTAAAGACGGAACAAAATCGTGTACTGGCAGAGTGTGTGTGAAGGGTGAGAAGTGACACCGTGCCCTGTGGCCATTCTTCAGCAACAGGGGAGGGAACGCCCCCTGTAGAGTGGAGCCAGGCGGAGGCAGGGAGATGGCTCCGGAAAATCAATGAGCAGGAGAAGGAGGAGCCAGGGCAGGAGGGGGCCAGAGGTTACAGAGGTTACAGAAGGGGACCCCCCTTGCCTCAGCCTCTCCCAGCCATCAAAGAACCTGCAGCTGCTATGAGCTCACTGCAAGGACATTATAACAGGGGTCCTCACAGAATGAATGCCCGAGGGGCGGTGGGGTGGGAAGAATCCGTAGCCAGGGCCGGCCCATTCCCAAGGGCAAGTCACTTCACCTGTTTGAGTACAAGAGTAATGAAACCCATCATTTACCGCAGTCTGTAATGTAAAGTGCCCTCACGTTTGTATCTCGCACTTGCTGCAGCTCTTGAGATGAGTGTTATCGTCATCATCTTCACCACTTGAGTAAAAGTGCCAAAGGGGCACGGATTATATAGTTTTTCCTTTGATGTAGCCCAAATGCCTAGAACAGTGACTGGCACATAGCCCAGATAGTCAAAACTATTTGTTGAATGAATATTGAACGAATCTCATTTTTTGTTTTACTTCCATTTTGCAATCAAAGAAATAGGCTCTGAAGAATGATATGATACGTCCAGAGTCACCTGGCCAGGAACTGACAGAGCTAGAGAGGGAGTCCCTCAACCCATGCAACTCCACCTCACTACTACTGCCAGCCTCAGCTCTGGGAGCAGAGTATGGGACAGACGACCTCCTAGGCCCTTTTGAGCTTTGATGCTAGGGAGAAAAGGGCCTTAGAAAGACCAAGACACTGGCCAGGCGCGGTGGCTCACGCCTGTAATCCCAGCACTTTGGGAGGCCAAGACGGGCAGATCACCTGAGGTCGGAAGTTGGAGACCAGCCTGACCAACATGGAGAAACCCCGTCTCTACTAAAAATACAAAAAAAATTAGCCAGGCGTGGTGGCGGATGACTGTAATCCCAGCTACTCGGGAGGCTGAGGCAGGAGAATCACTTGAACCCGGGAGGTGGAGGTTGCAGTGAGCCGAGATCGCGCCATTGCACTCCAGCCTGAGGAACAAGAGTGAAACTCCATCTCAAAAAAATATATAAGACCCAAGACCCATGCTGCCAGCCTTTGGTTTCTCAAAGCCCCAGTCTTCCCAAGTTATCCTGTGAGGCCACTTCCCTCAGATCCAGCAGTGCAGGGAGCAGCAGGAGTTCACAGGGCACTCTGGGGCAGGGTGTGGGCCGGAAGCCAGTGCTTCCCCCTGGCCTGCCGGCACTGGCATTTTTTTAGTCAACAAGCATTTCCTGGGCCCTGCCCATGCAGGGCGTGAGGCTGACCCAGGGAAGGGGACCCTGAGGAGAGCAAGGAGCCAGGCAAGACTGACTCACGCCTGGTTGCAGGAGACCTGGTTGAAGCGGCAGGCGAAGATGAAGTTGCCCAGTGTGTCCTCCTCCAGGGATGGCAGAGTCTCTGGCAGCCTCGACAGGATGTTGATGTAGTGGAAGCGGTACCACTCCCTCACTGCATCCACCCCTGATGAGTATGTCTGGTAGAAGCAGTCTGATTTGTTCTGGTTGCACTGGACACAGAGACCAGAGTCAGAGGGGAAACACAGCCGTGGATAAGCCCCTTGGCAGGGCCAGGGGCCAAGAATGAGTGATCTGGGGTTCTGAGGACTGATGGATGGGGTCGGAAGCCAGGAGCGGGGAAAGACAGAAGTGGAAGAGAAGCAGAAGTCCCCAGGAGCATGGACCAGGAGAGCATGGGATTAAGGGAGTCGCCGGCCAGGAAGGAGACCAGCAGCTGCACACACATGGTTTGGGTTCATTTATACCTCCCCTGCTGGGGGGGCGCAGGGAGGAGCAAGACTTTCCCTCCCATTTCACTGATGGGAAGACTGAGGGATCAACAGATTTGATCCAGCAAGAGCTGGGACTAGAACTCTAGTCCCCAGCCCACTCTTACTAGTGGGAACCTCCCTATCTCCTTTCCTTGGGTCCTCCCTCCCTCCCTCCTTCTCTCCCTCCCTCTTTCTCTCTCTCTTTTTCTTTCTTTCTTTCTTTCTTTCTTTCTTTCTTTTTCTTTCTTTCTCTCTCTCTCTCTCTCTTTCTCTTTTTTTTTTTTTTGGCAGACAGGGGCTCATTCTGTCACTCAGCCTGGAGTGCAGTGGTGTGATCAAGGCTCACTGCAGTCTCCATCTCCCAAGTTCAAGCGATTCTCCCATCTCAGCCTCCTGAGTAGCTGGTACTACAGGCTTGTGCCACCACACAGGTTACTTTTTGTATTTTTTTGTAGAGATGGGGTTTCACTATGTTGCCCAGGCTGATCTAAAACTCCTGTGCTCAGGTGATCTGCACGCCTTGGCCTCCCAAGTGCTAGGATTACAGGCGGGAGTCACCACGCCCAGCCTCATTTTATATTTAAAAAAAAAAAAAAAAAAAAATTTGGGCCAGGTGCGGTGGCTCAAGCCTGTAATAGGGCACTTCAGGAGGCCGAGGCGGGTGGATCACCTGAGGTCAGGAGTTCCAGACCAGCCTGACCAACATGGAGAAACCCTGTCTCTACTAAAAATATAAAAAATTAGCCAGGCATGGTGGTGCATGACTGTAATCCCAGCTGCTCAGGATGGAGGCAGGAGAATCGCTTGCACCCGGGAGGTGGAGGTTGCAGTGAGCCGAGATCACGCCATTGCACTCCAACCTGGGCAATAAAAGCGAAACTCCGTCTCAAAAAAAAAAAAAAATTAAGTTTCCTTTTTTTTTTTTTTTTTTGGAGACGGAGTCTTGCTCTGTCGCCTAGGCTGGAGGGCAGTGGCTTGATCTCGGCTCACTGCAACCTCTGTCTCCTGGGTTCAAGCGATTCTCCTGGCTCAGTTTCCCGAGTAGCTGGGATTACAGGTGCGTGCCACCAAGCCCGGCTAATTTTTGTATTTTTAGTAGAGATGGGGTTTCACCACGTTGGCCAGGCTGGTCTTGAACTCCTGACCTCAGGTGATCCACCCGCCTCGGCCTCCCAAAGTGCTGAGATTACAGGCATGAGCCATCGCGCCCAGCTAAGTTTCCTTTTTTTATTGTCTCCTTCTTCTCTATCTTGGGCTGTTAGCCCAGTTCTCCATCACGCTGGAGGGTCCCAACTGTGTCCCACTAGTGGGGACTGGAATTCAGAAAGTTGCATTTTCCTTCCTGAATCAAGGACCAGAAACAGTAAAACAATAATAATAATAATAATAATAAAAGTGCATTTTCCATAATAGATTTGACTTCCTACCCCTGAAACGTTTCTACACAGGACCCCAGGGAGGAGGCCCCAAAAGCTGGGGCACCAACAGGTGTTATTTTAATTATCTAGTTGCTATGTGTATTTATTTACTTATTGTTTTGCCCGCGAGCCCACCAGGCCCCGCGTGGTGTCGGTGGGCTGCGCAGGGGGGTCCGGAGAGGAGCGGAGCCCATGGGTTGGCTGGGCCAGGGGGCCGGCGAGGGGCGGGGCGGGGCCCTCAGCGCTGCGGGCCTCACCAGCTCGAAACCGATCTTCCAGTCCTTCCAGTCCACTTGGGGGTTGTTGTCCCGCACGCTGGAGGCCACGCTACGGGCTTGACGGGCCCCGTGAAGCGGGGACGGGACCCTCAGGCGCTGCAAGAGGTGCGACAGAGTGCCCCGCAGGTCACGACGGCCGCGGGAGCCGGCCACGAGGGTGGGGGAGGAGTCGTATTTGTACAGGTCAAAGAGCGTCTGCTGTGTGATGCGGTCCAGCTCCTCCAGCTCCTCTTTAATTTCCGGATACCTGAAGGGGCGAGGGGAAAAGGGTCAGGCCAGGGGCCCTGGCGCGAGTGTCTGGCCCCTCCGCGGGTCAGGATCCTCATCTGCGCCCCAGGAGGCGGGTCCATCCCGGAGAAGCCTGGGCGGGGCTGGGGTCGTCGTGGCGCCTCCCGGCTGTCCGGCGGTGAAGGGTAAACAGGTGTGTCCGCCGGGAAGGCGAGCCCGGCCGGGACGGCAGTTACTGCGGACTATTTATTGAAGAAGAGAGGCAGGAGGCGCCTGTCGTCTGCGGGGCGCTCTCCTCCCCCTCGCCCGGACGTAGAAGGGAACCCGGAACTTGTCTGCCCTTTCCCAAGGAGGAGAAGAGTGGGGGCCTCGGCCTTGGCGTGACTGCGGTGCCCAGGTCATCCGGCCCTGATCCCCTCAGGGGAGTGGCCTTTCGGCGTGCCGAAATCAAGAGTTCACAACTGCACTTTTAGAATCTCCAACTGCAAAAATACAGGATGCCGCACCCACCCCTCCTCCCTCCTCCAAAGACTGTTCTAATGTATTTCGGGTACGGCCCAAACACCATAAATTAAACACAGCTCACTGTAAATCCCTACATTCCTTCTTAATACAGTTCCTATTACCATCTCCATCATGAAAGTCCAGAGTAGCAGGGCCTTAGGGATGTAATCTACCAAAACACAACAAATATAGAACTAATAAACTGAACAAGGTTGCAGGGTGCAAAATAAATACACAACAAAAATTAATCGCATTTAGGCCGGGTGCGGTGGCTCACGCCTGTAATCCCAGCACTTTGGGAGGCCGAGGTGGGCAGATCACGAGGTCAGAAGATCAAGACCACCCTGGCTAACACGGTGAAACCGCGTCTCTACTAAAAAAAATACAAAAAAATTAGCCGGGCGTGGTGACGGGCGCCTGTAGGCCCAGCTACTCGGGAGACTGAGGCAGGAGAATGGCGTAAACCCCGGAGGCGGAGCTTGCAGTGAGCCGAGATCGCACCACTGCACTCCAGCCTGGGCGACAGAGCGAGACTCCGTCTCAAAAAAAAAAAAAAAAAAAAATTGCATTTCCGTCTCAAAAAAAAATAATTAATTGCATTTCTACATGCTGGCAACAAAAAAACTGGAAAACCAGAAATACAACAGCAATATTAAATAACAGAAACAACATCAAATACATAGAAATAAATGTAACAAAAGATGTGCAAGACTGAAAAATATGTTGAAATCCCAGCTGAAATACATCCAAGTTCAGAATAAGTGGAGAGATATATATGTGTATATATATGGATTCAACACAATCCCTATCAAAACTCCAGCTTTTTTTTTTTTGGACAGGATCTCATTCTGTCACCCAAGCTGGAGTGCAGTGACACAATCACGGCTCACTGCAGCCTCCTCCTGGGCTCAAGCAATCCTCCCACCTCAGCCTCCCTAGTAGCTGGGACTACAAGTGTGCCACCACACCAAGCTCATTTTTGTATTTTTTTGTAGCGAGGGGGTTTCACCACGTTGCCCAGGCTGGACTCCAACTCCTGAGCGCAAGCAATCACCAGCCTCAACCTCCTAAAGTGCTGGGACTGCAGGCGTGAGTCACTGCACCCGGCCCCAGCAGATATTTTTAAAGAAACTGACAGACTGGTTCTAAGACTTATCTGGAAATGCAAACAATCTAGAATAGCCAGAAAATTTTAGAAAAGAAGAGCCCAGCTGGAAAATGTATTCCTCCTGACCTTAGTATTTACTATAAAGCCACAGTAATCAAAACAATGTGGTTCTTCGTAAGGAGAGACAATAGATCAATGGAACAGAATAGAGTCCTGAAATAAACTCACGCATAGATGGTCAACTGACTTTTGACCAAAACACCAATTCAATTCAGTGGAGAAAATAAAATTTGTGAGCAGATTCTGCTAGAACAACTGAATACTGTACTGGAAAAAAAAAAAATGACCCTCAATTTCTACCTTATACTATACAGGCAAAAGTTAATTCAAGATGGATCATAACCTAAACATGAAATTCAGAACCATAAACACTCTAGAAGATGGAAGATATCTTCCTGACCTTGGGGTAGGCAAAATTCTCTTGTAAGAAAAATATCTAACAAATAATCCCTACAACGACCCTATGTAGTAGGCACTTTATGAACAGACCTACCGTTTTATTTTGTTTGTTTTTTTTTTAACGAGACAGAGTCTCGCTCGGTCACCCAGGCTGGATGGAGTGCAGTGGCACAATCACGGCTCACAAGCTCTGCCTCCCAGGTTCACACCATTCTCCTGCCTCAGCCTCCCGAGTAGCTGGGACTACAGGCCCCCGCCACCACGCCCGGCTAATTTTTTGTATTTTTTTAAGTAGAGATGGGCTTTCACCGTGTTAGCCAGAATGATTTCGATCTCCTGACCTTGTGATCCGCCTACCTCAGCCTCCCAAAGTGCTGGGATTACAGGCGTGTGAGCCACCGCGCCCAGCCGAACAGACCTACATTTTTTAAAGATTCTGACCCTGTACACAGCTAGTGAGAATATAAAATGATACAATCACTTTGGAAAACAATCTGGAAGTTCTTCAAAAAGTTAGATATAGAGTTACCATATAACCCATCCATTCCACTCCTAAGAGAATGAAAGCATATGCCCCCCGACCACACACACACAAATGTGCACAAATGTTCATACCAGTATTATTCCTAATAGCCAAAAAGTAGAAATAAGCCAAATGTCCATCAATTTATGAAAGTATAAATAAAATGTGGTACATCCATACACTGGAATAATATTTGGCAAATAAAAAGGAATTAAGTGCTGATTTATGCTACAACATGGATGATGCTTGAAAACATTATACTAAATGAAAGAAGCCACTCACAGAAGATGACATATAGCATGATTCTAATTATAGGAAATGTCCAGAATAAGCAAATCTATAGACAGAAAGTAGACTAGTGGTTGCACAGGGCTAGGGGTTAGGTAGATGGGAGGGAAAGATGAATGCCTGTTAAAGGGTACGGGGTTTCTTTTGGGGGTGATGAAAATGTTCTAAAATTGATTGTACTAATAATTGCACGATTCTGTGAAATATATTAAAAACGATTGAATTTTAAGTGAGTAAATTGTATGGTGTGTGAATTACATCTCAATAAAGCTGTTTTTTAAAGGAAAAATACCTAATGAAAAGATCATCTTGATAAATAAAGAATTCTTGTAGGCCGGGCACGGTGGCTCAAGCCTGTAATCCCAGCACTTTGGGAGGCCGAGAGGGGTGGATCACGAGGTCAGGAGATTGAGACCATCCTGGCTAACACGGTGAAACCCCGTCTCTACTAAAAAAATACAAAAAACTAGCCGGGCGAGGTGGCGGGCGCCTGTAGTCCCAGCTACTCAGGAGGCTGAGGCAGAAGAATGGCATAAACCCGGGAGGCGGAGCTTGCAGTGAGCCGAGATCCGGCCACTGCACTCCAGCTTGGGCGACAGAGCGAGACTCCGTCTCAAAAAAAAAAAAAAAAGAATTCTTGTAAATTAACAATTTAAAAAAAATTTTAATGACCAAAAAGCATATAGAAATGGTCACTAAACACCTGAAAAGCTACTCAACATAATTAGTCCTCAGGGAAATGCTAATTAAATCCATGATAAGGTACCATTAGAAAGGCTAAAATTAAAAAGACTGACATAAGTGTTGGTGAGGATGTAGAGAGCAATTGGAATTCTTCTAAGCTGCTGATAGGAGCATAAAATGGTACCACTGCTTTGGAGGACCAGTTAGTAGTTGCTTATAATTTTAAACATGCATATCTACCTTATGACCCAGTAATTTCATTTCTGAATATTTTACCAGATCCACCCCTAGCTACTACACAAGAGCAAGAAAAACATGAAGATTTGTACCTGAGGCTGGGTGCAGTGGCTCACACCTGTAATCCCAGCCCTTTGGGAGGCCAAGGCGGGTGGATCACCTGAGGTCAAGAGTTCGAGACCAGACTGATCAACATGAAGAAACCCCATCTCTACTAAAAATGCAAAATTAGCCGGGCGTGGTGGCACATGCCTGTAATCCCAGCTACTCAGGAGGCTGAGGCAGGAGAATCGCTTGAACTCAGGAGGCGGAGGTTGCAGTGAGCCAAGATCTTGCCATTGCACTCCAGCCTGGGCAACCAGAGTGAAACTCCATCTCAAAAATAAATAAATAAATAAGATTTGTACATAAATGTTCATAGCCATTTTATTTATAATAGCCAAAAAGCCTAAAGCAACTCAAAAGTGTGTTGAAGGTGTGTGTTTGGCATTCTAGGAAACTTGCTCATTACTGCTAATTAAAAGAATGGCAATCGGCGGGGCATGATGGCTCACACCTGTAATTCCAGAACTTTGGAAGGCCAAGTGGGTGGATCACTCAAGCTCAGGAGTTTGAGACCAGCCTGGGCAACATGATGAAACCTTGTATCTACAAAAAATACAAAAATTCACCAGATGTGGTGGTGCACACCTGTAGTCCCAGCTGCTCAGAAGAGTGAGGCAAAAGAGTTGCCTGAGTCTGGGAGTTTGAGGCTACAGTGAGCCGTGATGGTGTGGCTGCACTCCAGCCTAGGCAACAGAGCAAGACCCTGTCTTGAAAAAAAAAAAAAGAATGGCAATCCTAGCTAGCATTTATTGAGCACTTACTATGAGCCAGGCACTGTGGTATTAGAATGTACATTATTTAATTGTTAAAAGAAGAACGTTAGAAAAAATTAAATTTAACAGAGTTTACTTGAGCAAAGAACGATGTTCGAATCAGGCAGCCCCTCAACTGGAATAGGCTCATCAAAACCACTCAGCAATAAAAAGGAACTGATACATGCAAAAAAACAGGGAAGAATTCCAGAAACATTAAGCCAAATAAGTCAGACACACATACAAGAAAATACATACTGTATGATCCCATTTATATGAATTCTATGAACAGACAAAACTAGTTGATGGTGATAGCATTCAGAAAATGATAGTGGGAGAGGAAGAGGAATTGATGGAAA